CGCTTTGCATGCAAACGCGATTTGCATTTAAATTCAATACTAAATTCATATGCTGGCTGTAATACACACCAGCCAGCCCGAGACGCAGGCGTGGCCCCCGAAGGCGGCGTATATGTATGCGTGTGTACTAAATCCTTTGAGGTGTGCTTTGCACGTTTTCACTGCGCTCTCATGCCATTGTTTTGGCATTTTACAAGTTTTCTACAATGGATTTCCGTTGAGTCTCAACTCAGACTCGTTGCCTCCTGTGTGTGCTTGAGTGTTTCTGTATGTGTGTGTGTGTGTGTGAGACTGTGTTTGTTTGTTATAAATTGTTACACAACAGCATGCACGTTCATGTTTCATTCATGCACATAAAATTGATTTAGAAAGTTTTTTTCCCTCTTTTTTTGTTGGATCAATGTTTGTCATCCTGTTCGAAGGCAAAAGTTTTGCTTATTTATTTATTTTGATTATATTTTATGCCCCCCTTCCCCCTTTTTTTGGTATTCCCAGTCAAAGTTAATTGAAATTATTGAATAGTTTCGTTTCTCTTGGTTTGGCTCATGTTTTTGTTCAGTTTGATTGGTTTAGTTTCGAACTAAATGCGATATGATTTGATTCGAATTCGAGTCACTTGTGTATTCCTTCGTGGGCACTCAGTCGTTTCGCCCGAACCCACTCGAGAGCCATTCATGTGATTCAATTAGCTAAAAATGTTGGCTTCTCCTAGCTGCAAGTAGCAAAATTTTTGCCCAGATATTTGTTGTGTACATGTCCTCGACTTGCAGCAGCACAGACAACAACACAGACTCGCTTACAAGGAAGCACTAGAGGAGCAGCGACTGGGGATTTGCAACTACAAATTGGCTAGCAGGAACCACCTGACTTTATTTATAACAAACTCGGGGCCAAAATGGCACAAATCTCATCAAGAGCTATAAACTCAAATCAACGCGTTGTCACTTCCGCTTGCCTGCCCAACCACCCCCCAAACCGCTCCACTTCGAATGCTTCCGCTGCACTTGCAACCTGCACCGAAACTCACTCTGTTTGGGCAAAAAACTAATCCCTTCGCCCTTGCCACTTGCCACTTGCCTTCTTCTTCTTGTGCCGGCGACGGAAAGTCGCCGCAATGCCAAGAAGAAAAATTTATGCAAATTATTTGAAAAAATAAAACGAGGAAACTGAGAAAGAAAAATGCTCAGCGCAGATTTTTATGCCCGAAATGCAAATGCCCAGAAAGGGTATATTGGTTTATAGCTTGCATATGTAACGGAGGGAAGTAAGCTGAGTCGAAATGAGATCTCTGTTAACAGTAGAGCTGTTATATATTTACCAATCTGTTTATCCCCTTACGTAACTGTCAATACAATATATAGCATAGCTCATGGGGCACATTAAATGTCAGGTATGGCTTAATAAAACTTAAAAGTTAAAAAAAAAAAAAAAATATATATATATATATATATCTATATTGTATAAAGTTTGTATATATCTATATATCTATATTGAGTCTTTAAATTTAAGCTGGTCGAGCTTTGCCATTATATGATTTGAGGGCATCTCCAAGTTGTGCACTTTCCCTAACACACTTGTGACTTATTTTGCTGTTGGCTTCTGGAGTTGGCGGCGTGATAAAATATTCCGTCACCGGTTTTACGCACCCAAAAACGAACAGGAAAGATTTCCTCCACCTTCGGCTCATCGCAGCAACAACAAACAGCGCATGAAAAGTGCTTGTCGAGCGAGTGCAAACAAATTATATTTGAGATTTAAGCTGGCTATGAGCAGCACATAAAAGTCAAACACAAAAACTGTGCCATAAATCGTGTTTGCCAGTTTGAGCACTTTAAATCTAACTTGTGGACACAATGCCATCAACTGTCTGCGCTGAGCTATTCCAATTGAAGCCCAAATACTTGGCACGAATCGCTGAGAATTTGCACTGAGTGACAAAAACAAAAAAGCACGAGAAATGTCTAGATATTAGTAAAGCATTTAATAAAGTGGTTTACTATTTTATTTTATTTTTTTTCCATTAATAAGTTGATAAATTAAAATAAATTTAAAAACCAATTGGGAAGAACTGAATCAAAAAAGATTCGTATTTATTTACTCGGCTATTCGTTTTGAGTTGATGCATAGTTTGTGTATAAAATAAAAATTGGTTAAATAAATAAATCTTAAATTGCATAGCTGATAAAAATTAATTTAAATAAATTTGCACTATTTTTATTGAGCTGCTGCTCGAATGTCTATGGTATATTACGTATATATATTTATAGATTTTATTTTGATTGTCTGCGGCCTTAATCTGACCCATAAAGAGCCACTCTGGTGGGGCTTCACAATTCAGGTGGCTATCAAGTGAAGAGTCAATTTCAGGGAATTGTTCGTGTCTGTTCTTTGTGTTATCGATACCAGTCCATAACAGGCACATAATCATCATAAAAATCAACACCTAACCAGTTGTTGCAGGCCAGTAGATGCCCTGTAACACAAGACACAAGGGATAACAAACCATAAATTACACTGGAAATAATAAAAAAAAAGTAAAAAAAAAAAAAATAAAATAAATAAAAAAATAAATAAATAAAATAAAATAAAAATAATAACAAAACTACCAAATTCTAATATCTCAATGTGTAATATGTAAGAGTTGGGCTTATGTTATTTCAATATCTATATAGTTTATATAAAATTTATTAACTATATATAAGTATAATTATATATAATCTCTAATTATAATTATTTTGGATCTGTCTCTCTTTCACTCAACAGCTGTCTGTTTTATGTTGCCACATCCCTTTCGTATTTAGCTCTATCATACCCACTCAATGTATTAAATGTGCCTAGGGTAGTCCAAAAATAAAAGAAAACTAAATGAAATGGCAAAACTAACACATAAAAATTTGTAACCACAAAGCCCAAAATATTTGATTGTTCTTTGTGCTTTTCTGATTGTGTGTGTGTGTGTGCGTGCGCTAGGGGAGTTCCCTTTTTGGGTTGGCACTTAGCATTGACCCATGATTCGAATGGGTGGCGCTGGGCGAATAGAGATGTTGTGAGGAACAATTCTTGTTGGCTGTCGCGCATTTTACACACATTTTAAGTATTGTTCGCCAGTTGTTATTGCGCACACACACACGCACCCTCGTGGGTGTGTGTGTGGGGAGGGGAGAGACGGCTGTTGCGGGTTATAGGTCGAAGGGCGAAACATGTGTGAGTGCGGATCATGAACGGAACCATTATGTTCACAGCGTTGCGTTGATGGTTGTTGCTCTGCCTGACTGCCTGCGTGGCTTTCTAATATTGGCCTTGATTTTGGGGGCGAGATAAGTTGTTGCTGTTGTTGTTGGTGTTGTTGTTGATGTTGTAGCTGGTGCTGCTGCTGCTGCTGCTGCTGTTGTAGCCGCTGGCAGTTGGCAGTTAGCAGCTGCCGCAGACAGAGACAAATGCGTGGCATACACTCGTCTACGCGCATATAGCAAACATTTTCCCACTCGTAGGCACTGAAAATTGGTTTAATGTTTTTTCTGTGTGTCCAGCGAACGCTTTGGCCAACAGCAGCCCGTCAACAAAGTCAAATGTTGACGTTGTTAATGATGTGCAGTGGGGGACAGAGACAAGCTACTAGCATTAGCAGCCAACAGCCAGCAGCCACTAAAGCCGATTTCACTGAAACAACAGAGAACAGAGAGAGAGAGAGAGAGGGCGAGAGACTGAGGAGGCTGGAGAGTTGGCCAGTTAGTTAACTTGATAATAGCTTAGCTCCCACTGGGTAACGAATCGTCGCCTAACCAACTGACAGTATGACAACAACTTGGAATATAAATCGATAGAGAAATGTTTACTTCTTGTAGCCCAACAGAGTGGACCACAAATAACATTGTGAGCCTCGCTTTAATGGCGACACACTTAAAGGGCACTTTCTAGCCCTATCTCTGTCACTCTCGCTCTCTCTCTCTCTCTCTCTCTCAGTGTGAACTGATGTATCAGTAGAGCCACATCTTTGCTAGAATCTGATACTATACTAATTTGCTTTCATTATGTTTGATCTGATTGAAAAAAAGCTTAAATTTAAGATAAGTGAAGTGGTTAACAATGAATATATATAGAGAATATAAAAATATTTATAATAGATTTCATATTTATTATTATTAGAATACTCGCCTAGAGTATATACTTTTACTATATAGGTATGTATAAGTTGAATTTATTTTCACATATAAAATAGACGTGTTTCTACTATTGATGGTCCAAACGTTGAGTTTTAATTTATTTTTGTTTAAGTATATTAACGTTCGTGCATTAATATATAAATATTCGACTAATCTTCCTTCCTTCTGTTGCATCCTAGCTTCATCAAATATTATTTAATTAATCAAGTTATTCAACAAAAGTAATATATCTCATATATATCCTTAATATTTTCAAGAGTGACAAAAGAATATTATAGTAAAAATTTCAGAAACAATTTTCATTTCGATACAAGTAAACAACAGATATAATTTAATTTCTTTAAGCATCATTCGAGTGTAAATGGTGAAGAGCTGAAATCTCTTAATGCTTAAATCCGCTTACCAGAATAAAAGCCAGTTAAATTTAAGGGAATTTTGTGAACTCGACCAGGGCCTCACGTAGCCTGGTCGACAGTTGAGCCTGTGAACCTGTGCGAGGCGCTTATTAAGGGGTCGCCAACGTTGACAGAGTTTTGGTAGGCACTGTTTGTGGTATGCTGGTGCATCTTTGATTCATCGAGTGTAATTGTGGATGATCTGTTAAATGGTCGCCATACCCATGAAATGCTGGCGTTGACGTTGTTGCCAGCGGTTAGCCACATGCTTAACGGCCGTTAAGCCAGTCAGTGAGTGAGTGGGCGGTATTCGAGCCGGGATTGGGAATTTGGGCTTAGGATTTGGATTTGGATTTGGAGCCGTGCCCAGGCGATAGGGAGAGAGCGAATGCCTAGAAGTGCTATTAATCAATTTTGCGCACGTTCCATTTGCCATTTGCAGTGACGCCGCCAGATGCCAAAGCGATTATAGCCGGACCAACGGATTTGTACGTTAAAGTGGGCAGCGTCATAACGCTCACATGCCACGTGAAGCAGCCGGCAACGGCGGCCCAGGATATTGGACCAATTTACTGGTATCGCGGTCCGTACATTCTGACACCCTTTGTGGCGCATCCGAATGATGCGGCCATCGATTTGCAGCGCATCTCAATGGAATCAACACTTGCCGAGAAGCTGCAAAGCAGGTAAGCAACAACCAACCATCATCATCATCATCATCCTACTCGTATTCGTCATCATTATCATCATCAGGCAGTTCAAGGGTTAGGTTAGCATCAGGTATCAAAATGAAGGTATCCAGACGCTCAACAGAGCTGAGGGCGTGCAGCCCAGGAACACAGCATGCACACTAGATGGGCGTCTCCATTGGCTCTTGTTAGTTTCCAGCTGAATAGCTGCAACTTTGATCAATGAAGTTGAATTCATGTGGCAGCTGATTGGCCCCATGTTGAATGCTGCTGAATGAGGTGTGGCCTGGTCTTTGCTTTAAGCTTTCGCTTTAATCGCTTTTCAGGTTGCGGATTGCCAATGCCCAGCTGCTAGACACGGGCAACTACACGTGCATGCCGACGACAGCCGAGGCGGCCAGCGTTGTGGTCAATGTCATTAATGGTAAGTGGCGGGCACTCGACTTGCAATCTGTTGGCATTTTCTTCAATTTCAATTTGTTTCTCCTTCCCTTTTCTCTTTTTTTTCTTCTGCTCTGTTTTTTTTTTTGTCTGCTTCTATTTTCCCAGACGAAAGCCCTGCGGCTATGCAGAAAAGCGGCGGCAATGGCAGCTGCCTGCGAAGCAGCCTCAATTTCAACCTGGCTCTGGCATTGGCAGTCAGCGCGGTGGTCCGATGGCTCCGCTGGCTGCTGGGCACCCACTCCACTCCACTCTCCTTCTCCTTAGAGCATATCAATTATGAAACCAGGCAGCAACACCGGCAGCATCAGCCTGAGTTGCAGCATCAGCCAGAGCTTCAACTGCAGCAGTCAATGACGTCATGATAATTAAGTTAAGCGATTATCCACACAGCAAACTGTAAATAATTTAATTGTTAGTTCAAAACAGAAAAAAACGAAATAAAATTAAATTACAAATATAATTCAACTGAGAGATGTCATGCAATAAATGATATAAATGAATTAGTGTTAATTTTATGCATAGCGTAAAAGTATATAACAATAACTAAACACGGCAAAAAATCGACGATAGTCAATAAGAGAGATTAAAACGAACATCAAATTACAAACATAAAAGCATAAAGAAAGAAAAAGAAAAAACGAATTATAATTGTAATGGCAAAGTGTTAAATTACTTGTTTGCATTCAATTTAATTTAACACTTTCCCTAGCACCAAAAAAATATAAAAGAAAAACGAAAGGCTCAATCACAAAACAAAAAAATTATATATTTAAAAAATAATTATAACAAATAGCCACTATAAAAATAAATAAATTGTTAATTTGAGCAGCAAATGTAAAAACAAAAAAATTAATTAATTTAAACAAATCTACTTTTGTGTAAATAAATTTCAATTCATTTGCCAACTTTAGTTAACTGAATTATGTAATTAACTAACGTAGTTTATTTGCGAAACAGTAAACACAATTTATACAAATAAATTCTCATAAATGTCAGCAAAACTATCAAATAACTGCAAACTATATAAATGTAATATAAGTTAAAGAACAAAAATCAACTTTATAAAAAAAAAAAAATAAGTAAATAAAAAATAAAATAAAGTAAGCAAAAACAAACCTAAAGTAAATGATGACAAAGTACTGCACACTTCATCGAAACATAAATAAATCTATGTATATCTCTACAAATATACATATATATATAGCTTATCAAATTTTCTGTTCAATAAGCATAATAATAGGAACAAGATAAAAGTAAAACTAAACTAAAACTCATGTCACATAGATAATCTAAGCAAACAGTTCGCTAAAAACATTGTGAACTACAATAAAATTCATTTGATTAAAGACATTATAAAACAAACTAAAAGAAAATGAGTTTTCATTTATATGTTGCATTAGCATAAATTGGATTGAGTTTTATGTGTGAACAAAAGAATTAATTTTAATTTTAATTTTTATTTTTGTTATTTTTGTATATTTCAGAAAAGAATTTTCTTGGCTTTAAAATTGTTCTAGAGAATGTTTTGTCCGATTTTCATTTCGTTATCTTTATATTATAATACTATAAAAGTCTTTGATTTACTCTCTTTAAATTACTTTCGTTTTCATATAATTTCAAACAATTTAATTCTCTCTATAAAAAAATATAAGAATTACATATTTTCACATTTTTATAATATTATTTCATGCTATTAATTTCTTTAATTCTGAAAGCCTTCATTTTATGATAGGTATGTTCTACCATTCTATTGAGGTTTCTATCCAAACACTAAATTACTTCCATCGTAATATTGATTTCTAGCACGCTTTGTGGTCAGATACCCCATTGTGCGACTCAAATACTGCCTAAATTAGACTAACAAAGGACTCCAAGAAACTATTTGCTTACATTCCATATTTGACTATTGTAGGAAATACTTGACTCATATACACTATCTGCTTAGCTAGACAGATTTCGTACATAGGTTTAAGTCAATTCTAGCCAATTTCAGGCACTTCACTTTCTTCCTCATTGGGTTTATGAAATTTCATTAAACTTGAACAACCGACCTAAGTCTTTACCTTTAAAAATGAGAAAATAAATAAGAATTCCAATGAATAATAAACCTTCATAAAGCCATTCAAAACAAAAAATATTTCAGTATGCTTGAGAGCAAGAAGAAAAAGGAGAAAAATCTAAATGACAGGTGGGTTAAAAAAGTCTTTAATAAAAACATCATAAAGAGCTTCAAGTCAGTTGCATTTAATAGAGAAATAGTTATAGTTCGAGTTTAGTTAATTAAAAGCGACAATCAAGATCTGCGCTGATTGCAGTGACGTTGCATTGAAAGAATCTCCATATTAACAGCTCAGTCTCTGTCCCCTTAACAGATGAAAGGCAAGCTGTTAAAAGTACATGCGTGTTTGTTAGGCAAGTGCTCACTCTTGGGATTCTTTTGTGAGCTGCTGCAGCCACTGATGCATCATCAAAGCTAGTCCACAGAGCAGAGCAAATGAGATTGAAATGCAAGACAATGGTGTGCAATAGAAGCTGAGGTAAGTAGCTAACCGACAAATGCTTTAATGAAGCGCTCGGCTAGGCAGTTGCCACTGAAGCTGTTGCTGTTGCCGTTGCTGCTTCTATTAAAAAGTTGCTCATTTTATGCCGACTAATTGCCTTTGTGTTTGTAAATAGTTTTCAACGCTGTTATTTTAATTAAATGTTGCTCGTGTGTCCATTAATAAAGGCGCTGTAATTTGTAATTATTGCAGCCTTACGCAAATGATGTAACACGGCGGGGATTAACGTTTCTGTGTATTTCGTTTGACCATTAAATCAATAAATTGTTAATTAATTTAACTTCGTTTCGCGCAAAAATTAAAGCCAACAACTGCTCAGCGCTGCCGCGTGCTTGTGTGGGAAAGTAAGCGGAATCGTTTCAAATTAAGCGCTTCAGATAAACCCAACGACTAGTCATTAATTCGCACAGCCGGCCAGCCATTCGAGCGGGCAAGCCACTCGCCGTTGGTGTGGGTGTGCGGCCGCGTTAGCCCCTCAGGGCCGCAAGGCGCTAAAGCAGGCCCGAGCTCACAGCTGCGGTCAATTTATACGGACTGTTGATGGCGACCGCGCTCACACACACACAGACACTGCTGGGGGCTCCTCATGCGGCAAGCGCCATGACGCGTTGGTGGGCAACACAGCGGAACGTTGTCTAATTTCGGACTGTTTCGGCTTACGGCGCGTATGAGTGATGTGTGTGTTTATCAAATGTATGAGTGTTTTTGTGTGTGTGTGTGTGTGTGTGTGTATGTGTGTATGTGTGCGGTCGCATAATTACTCGCAGTTGAGTTGCTTAAATGAAATCATAAATTATATGCACACGCGTCACTGTTTCACTTAATTGTGGGTAAATATTTTACAGGCGAGCAATTTAAACGATTGATAAATATTTTTATTGTGTATTTGTTTTTGTTTTATATGCTTTTCTTTTCATTCTTGTATTGCTTTTTTAGTAGTGCCTAATGTAGCGCACACAGCGCTATTTTAAATTTAATTTCAATACTTTTTACTATCCATTTTTTCTACTTGGTCATAGAGAGGAAATGCGCATTTGGTTTTGCTGTTTCTTTACATCCAAAGAGGTCACGCATAATAAATATGTTATTTTTTTTAAATATTTTTTTTTGATGAATAATTTATACAGCATATCGATGAAATTTGGAGGATGGGAAATAGCGTATAAAGAAAATAGAATGGTAGTTCATATGAACGAGCTATCGATGCTAAGCCGAGTTATATCATCAATTTCGACATTTTTCTCATAGTGTTTACAGAATAGGAGATGCTACGAAAGCACTCGAGTGGAGGGAAGTTAGTTATGTAGCTGATGTGGAAAGAAGTATAACTAGATCTAGCATGATTCGAGGAAAAAATGTTATTATGTATATACATATTTAAAAAAATAATTTTTGTTGGATTTTTATACTTATTTAATCAATTTACTTTCGTATTAAAAGCAAACATTTGAGGTTTAGTTTGAGAAAATTTGTGAAAGTTAATATTATAGTTATATAATATTTCGATATTAAAAATATAAATTTGTCTATAAATATAATCGATATAGCAAATATTTCTCTCTATTTACTGATCGATAAAATCGTTTTGAAATTAGCAACAGACTCAGATAATTTTGTTTATATAGAAATGTAACTGATGTATGGCAGATATCATGTACAGTCGAGTCTCGAAAATTTGTACCCCGCTAAATAAAAAATCGTGATAAATCGTAAAAAGTCTATCGTCTTAAAAAAATAAGTTCTCGATAATTCTCTATAATTTGAATTTCTGTGTAATTCGAAAAAAAAAAGATTCCCTTGCCATTTTGAATCGAAATCGTTAGCTCTGAGTGGTCATAGTTTAGGTTCTGCATCTATTGATGACAGATATCAAGTCGAAAATAAATGAGAATTTTTTCCATCTACCCGTGATAACATTTTGTAAAGGACACTCCATTATGCAGTCGCTTTCGCCATTCGCCATTCGCCATTCGCCACTCGCGCAAGTCGTAATCGCTTTCCATTGAAAGAGCTGGTAAATCATCTATGAAATAACATTTTGTGTACTTGTTCGCTGTTGCTTATTAAAAGTTCTCATTATTTTTGGTTGGCAGGAGCTGACGACTGCGCCCGCAGCTATGCAAAGCTATTTCAAGTTGTGAACGGGCGATTATCAAACTATTTCAAAGATTCCGTAATGGAAGCCCAAATAAAGTTGACAGTTAATTAGAGCCAGTTGCCTGCATGACCAGCCAAAGCTAGAGCGCCACCTGCCGTGCGGGATGGCAATTAAAATTGGAAAATAGTTTCGTGCAAGCGAAAGTTTTCGCATTTTTGAAGCGCATGTAGATGCGCTTGCATAATTTCTGTATACGTCCGTCGACAGTCGTTGTCGTTGCCATATTTTGTAAAACGTCGACCCATACAAAGAGAGAGAGAGAGAGAGAGAGAGGGTGAGAGAGAGAGGGCGAGAGGGAGAGGGAATGTCAGCCAGAGCCAAATAAATTGACCCATTAACACAGCGAGGCAAAAGTTGTCCGTGTCGCAGTTTATTTCCATTTGCCAACGCAAAAATGGCTGCAGCCCCTTTTGTCAGCGCTGTCTTTTGCTATTATTATGCCGTTTGTTGTTGCTGTTGCTGCTGCTGCTGCTGCTGCCGCTGCTGTTGCTCTTGTCATTGTTGTTGTTTATTTATGCCGCCAACTTGACGCAGCCATTGAAAAATCTCCGCGGGCCAACAAACGAGCCAGCCAACGCATCACGGCAGTAGGGTGAGGGAGCGGGAGAGCGGGAGAGCGGGCGATGCAACTGGAGTTGTGTCTGTGGCACCTGGGTTAAAACTCCGAGATGTCAGCGGCGTCGTTGATGCCGGCCAAGCCAAACAGTTATGCAATTTAAATATCACCAAAGTAGGCGGTGC